GACGTGGGGTACAATTCAGGGTTAGGTATACAAATGTTCATTATATAGGTAACCTTATGGATGAGGTGTGTCCCTCTCCCTTGGCAGTTTCTCACTACTGTCAATGCTTTTCTTATAGTATTATGATAATTGTTCAAGGCCCACTTATGAGTGAGAACATGTGATACTCAGTTCTTTGTTTCTGTGATAGATCACTCAGTATTGTCAGTCTGGTAGAATTCTATTTTGCTCTCAGACATGTTGGATAATTTTAAATTTTTTTATTGTCTATGCATTTTACTTGTTTGAACATAAGTATAGTTGTTTTAAAATCTGAGTCTGATACTTTTAATATTGGAAGTATTTGCAGACCTGCTTCTGCTGGTTCTTTATTTTCTTTTCTTGTGTGTGTGTGTGTGTGTGTGTGTGTGTGTGTGTGTGTGTGTGTGTGTGTGTGTGTGTGTGTTGGACATTCCATTACCCAGGCTGGCGTGCAGTGCCACGCTCATGGCTACCACATAGCCTTAACCTGCTGGGCGCAGGCGATCCTTTCACCTCAGCCTTCCAAGTTGCCAGAACTACAGGTAGGTGCTACCATACCCGGCTAATTTTTTGATTTATTGTAGAGATGAGGCCTCACCAAGTTGCCCAGGCTGTTCTCAAATCCATGGGCTCAGACAATTCCCTCACCTCGGCCTCCCAAAGTGCTGGGATTACAGGCTTGAGCCACGGCACCCAGCTGGTTCCTTATTTTCTTGTGTCGTTTCAAATTTTTTTATTGTTAGCCTGCTCCTTTTGCTATAAATATTGGTTTTGAAAACACCTGAAGGCCTCAGATGAGAGAATCTTCTGGAGAGGATTCCTATTTGTTTCTGCCATGAGGTATGTTCAGTTAGGGATCACTTTATACCACGTCATAAATTGAGGGGTTTGAACTCGTGCTGCAAATCCATGAAATGTTGCAACGTTACAAGGAATCTCTTGTTGTCATGCTCAGCACTGAGGTGAGTTCGCTTGCTTTTTCTTGGCAGTGGAATGATGGATGATGAAGCTGTCTTCTGCGGCTCATCCTCACTCTGAGTGTGTGTGGCCCCTTTAGTGTCCCAGTCTGATGATGGATGGTCTAGCATTTGACAGTCCATCTTTTTTTTTTTTTTGAGTTGGAGTCTCACTCTGTTGCCCAGACCGGAGTGCAGCAGCCACTCCCGGCCACCGCAGCCTCGACCTGCCGGGCTCCGGCCATCCTTCCGCCTCAGCCTTCCGAGTAGCCGGAATTACAGGCGCGCGCTACCACGCCCAGCTAATTTTTTGATTTATTGTAGAGATGAGGTCTCACTACCCAGGCGGGTCTCGAACCCGCGGGTTCAGGCAATCCACTCACCTCAGCCTCCCAAAGGCGCGGGATTACAGGCTGAGCCGCCGAGCCCGGGGTCAGTCCATCTTGGCAGGCCTGGGCTTACTCTGTTCTCCACAGTTTGGGGGCTAAAAACCAAGGTTTGAAGTCCCCTCATTGGGCAGACACCCTTGGGGCAAAAGAAGCTTTCTCCAGGTTCCCATGTTCACTCAGATTTTTACCTGACAGTATTATTGTGTCAGTTTTTGTGACACGTAAGAAGGGTGTCTGTGTATTTTATTCAGCATTCTTAGTCACAGTCAGCAGAGTTTGGCTACGACCATTCAGCCTGCCAAAATACCAGAAATGGAAAAAACCCCATTTGATTTCTCCTCCTTCTTCTCCTTCCTCCACCCCCTTGCTTTCTTTGGGAAACATTTTAATCCCTCTCTCATTTACATTGGTATCTGGTGAGGGATTAGCACATAACATTTTTTCTCTCCCACTACTAAACAATTACCTCAACACTAGACCCTGAAAATCAATTCCTGAGTGTGACACTTAATTTTCAGATAATACATTCAGATAAACAATTCACCCCTTTCTGTGTTCTTTTGATCCACTAATCTCATTCTCTAATCTTGGATGATCTCATACTTTTTCTGATTAGCCAGTCTTTACTCTTAAATCTCAACGTGCTAAATTCTTTTATCTTATTCTTTTTCAAGTTTTTTAAAGCTATTATTAACTGCTATCCTTTCAAATGAATCTTAGAATCATTTCCCAACATTATGAATTTAATTCATTTGGAACTGTTTTGAACTATATTAAACGTATAAATTTCTTAGAAAGAAGTGGCATTTTATAAATCTCAGCCTTCCTATCTAAAATCAGGTTATGTCTGTTTATGAAGTTTACTCAGAACTTCATTTACATTTAAATAGACTATAGTTTTCTTTATTTGTGACACTAGTGGTTAATATCATTTCCATTATCAATTGATATATTTTGTTGCTTTGTGAATTGGATCATGTTTTTATTATATTTTCTAAGGTAATTTCTGGTGGGTTAGAATGCTCATGGTTTTCTAAATTTACCTTTCTCTGGTGGTATGGATGGATCCTTTTATTTATCATAGTTCATTTTAAAAAACTTCGTTGTGCATTCTATATGTATATAAAAATATAATCTTCATTTTGTTTTTCTTTCAGGCTTTACACTGGTCAGAATTTCTAAAACAATATTTAATAATATTAATGTTTTGCTTTCTATTTGAATGGTAAGTCCATGCATGTTTAACTAAAAAAATATATTAGCTATCAGTATATTGAATGTATTAAATTTATTGTGGCATTTTATATAGTACTTCATACTACAAGACTAAAAAGAAGCTGAAAAAGCCTGGTTCAACATTCCACACCTTGCAGTGGGACCAGAAAACTCTAGATATTATAACCAACCATTTATAATATGGAAAGGATATTTGAATATTATACATAAAAATTAAACCCCTTTTGGTCTCTAGAAACTGGGAGAGTGGATACAATGAAAGTAACAAATTTGAACATGATAAAAGGTGCTGAAACCGATGAAGATGGGTAAAGGCCAAAAACGGAAAGGTCGTGCTAGTAAGACACATGGAAAAAGACTAACTAGGTAACCCACCAGTGGGAAGCTTATGTCTTTACTAACTAATGAATTCCGGTCATAAACTTTGTGTGCATAACTCATCGTGCCCATACGCAATCTATTTCTAGACCAGTGCTTCTTGAAGTACAACCGGTGGATCACCTAAACAGAACCACCTGGGTGGGATTCTTGCTAAAATGCAGGTCCCTGGACTCCTGCATGTGCCAAATGAATCAGAACAGGAGCAGGGGGCAAAGACACTGCAACCTAAGAGGCTCCTGTAGGGCTTCTCAGACAAAGGAACATTTGAGGAAAAAAGAGATAGAGGGTGAGAAAATGAAAAAAGGTGAGACAGAGAGAAACAAAATCAGAGTCAATGAGGAGGGGAACTTTACACTTCCCACTGTGTCACAGAAGGTATTTTACATCAGACTGTAGAAGCTGAATCTGATAATCCCATTAAAATATTATAATGAGACCAAAGACTTTTCAGAGAAATGAACCCAAACATCTTATTAAATCACCTAACAAGTTATGTGCTCCACGATGTACAAAGCATTTCAAAGAACCTGAAAACCAAGTGGGGTAACACCTAACTCATCACATCTAATTATAATAATGAAATACTCTCAGAGTATGTCTACCAGACAAATGTCTGGTCAGGGTCCTTTGCAATTCCTACATTATTTTTAGCTACAATAAATCAGAAAGTGAAGAAGCATCTTCATTAGTCATGAAAACAAGGAAGATTGAGGGGGCATGTTTTTCTTGGGTATCCTGAGGGAGACTTTGGATCACCCTATGGCTTTTACAGCAACTGTTCCAGGAAAGTAAGTTTGATCTTCTCCCTGCAAGTTTCCTGGTACAAATATTAGAGGTCAGGTTGCGGATGCCATGTTTGAATGTCAACTATCTCTTTTCTTTTTTAGCTACCATCTCACCTGCCCTAGCAGCTTTGACTTGCAACCTAATTTTACATGTATTGTTGTTTCTAAAATTCATGAACCATGCCCTTACTCATATTAAGTCCCTTTGTGTCCTTGTGGTGACAAAAAAAGTCTCAATGAATTACCTTGACTGGTGTGATCTCACACAAAGGCACACGGAGCTGAGAATGCATTTTTTAAAAATATTATCATGTTGGGCTATGAGTCCTGCACGTTGTTTTGAAATAGCAGCCTGAAATTTGACTCATCTAAATTTCATGGAATGTACTGAACACATACTATGCACCAGGCATCCACTCCGTGGATACCAAGACAAATGAGACACAGCTCCTGGCTGGAGGAACCATAAGCAGTAATTCATGAACTGCTTTTCCTTTGATCTGCCATTCCTAAAAAAACCCAGAAAAAGCATGAGCTGAAAACGTAAGACGGCTCCAAAGCTCAATATTCAAACCCACGGGAACTTACACAGCCAATGAACACTGCTTTTCAAAATACTAAGATTTGGAAGTTGATACCAAAGAGGTCACATCTGCTCAAAGGATGTTTGAAACTGCCTGGAACCATTTTCCTGTTGAACAAGGAAATGGCATCATTTTTCTACAGCCCTATGTTTCCCTTTTTCGTGCTCTTTTCTCCTCTTTCCTTTCCTCTCAACCAGTGCACACAGTGCTACTCTTCTCTGCCATTTCAGGTGCAGGCCTAAAGCCTGAAGGCCCCTTGCAAGGGTGGGGAGGATGGCTACTGAGGGACTGAAAGTTTACTGGAGGAGCTTTCATTTGTGCAGAGCCCACCTGTGGTTTGATGCCAGCAGTGGGCAGAATTGACCGAATGTGATTCAAGTGAATAGCCAAGGAAACTGCCACCAACTGAGGACCCACTGAGCATCCGTGGCCTGGGTGCCCTGCATCTACCTTCAAGATGCCCCAAAGGTTTCCCCTGGCAGGCAGCTCAGCAGCCCCGTGTGCCAGACATGAACCAAGACAAAGCGCCTCTTTCTGTCCTAGTCCTTTGCACTCCTTCTTAGCCAGAGGCCCACTGAGAGCCCAGGCTCTGCTGATGGGCCAGGCTGTCTGGAACTACGACCGCGTTACACAACGCAAATGTCTCACCACTGAATCTTTCATCTTTTTGGCGAGAGGGTCTGCTGCTGACTCTTCTAGATTTTGATGTAAAAACTTAGGAAACAGTCTGCACTGAATGAAGGACCTGAAAGTAGAAAAACACACAGGTTTAACTTTATTAAAAGCGGTTCCTGGGACAGTGTTTTCAGTAAACAACTTCAACTTGGATCCCATGCCCATAAGTGAAAAAAAGCAAGGATTCTCTCTGTTAAAAGATACACAGTAAAAACAGGTGCATATTCAAGTGATCCTGAAGATATGTTTTGATTTCAAATTTCAAATTTCGTCCTAGTGAAAGCAGTCACATACCTCCGGGGTATCTATTGTCGGTAGGGATGGGAGGTCCACAAAGGCTTCATTCTCACAAAAATACGGCAACAGAAGTCAACATGGCAGTGATACAACTGACCCCCAAAATTGTGCAAACCATATTTTGCATTTTCTTTCCCTATTTTTCACACCTTTCATCTTGTTGCACTAACAGACTAAATTATGGTATCTCTGGCCTCCAGATAGTTATGGTTATCTTAAGTCAAAATCTTTCCTTAAGTTTGGACAAATTATGTAAGATACTACAGTCAATACGAGTCACTCACTTTAGCATTACATGAAGGATTTCCAGTCCCAAAGTATATATTGCCAAAGACATTATTAAAGGGAAGATTGGAATGTATACTCTCAAGTTACTAAGGATTTTATTAAGTGCATTTAAAAGATTTGGCACAGACCTCAATTCAAACCTGGAGGGCACCGGCCATATTGGAAACAAAAAGCAACAAAATAAAATAAAACTCTCCCTCTCCGAGGTGCTGGTCTAGTCTCCACAGGGTAACTGCCTGGAATAAAGGCAGAAGATGATTAATGGATCCAGAAAGGGCACTTATGAAGGCTGTAGCTTCTCACACAAGGCCCCACAGGAGAGTCACAACAGGCCTTGGGTGCTGTCTGCCATCTGTTCCTGCTATTACACGTCTCATTCCAAAAGCACAAGAGCAAAGGTAAAGTGTTCGCTGAGCCCTTGATTTTCATCAGTTGCTGGCTAGTCCTGCAATTCCCCCACCCTCCTCCGGTGAGTGGCCAGCTAGTTAACAAGAGTCAAATCGCTGTGAAGCCTGAATGGTCATCTCTCACGCTCGGGGAGGGAGCAGGGCTGCGGGAGCTGTGCCCACCACATGGCAGTGAGAGAGCACAGTGTGGGTGACTCACATGAGCGCGGAGGGGTCACTGCTCTGACGGCTCAGATGGTAGCAAAGCGCAACCAGGAGGCCACAGAAGGCTGAAAACAGCGCCGGGATGTGTTGTGTACTCCACGGTTCCTAAGGAAAAGACATCAGTTAGCCAAGTCTCCATGGCTGGGGGCAGCATAGCAGGATCTCTCTCTGTCAAACATTTAGGTAAGTCCTGAGGTCCTTCTGGATGGACGCGGGGTCCCTGTAATCACTCCTGCCCATGGGCATACATGTGTCTGATGGGCACACACAAAACCTTGTTCATGTGTAAACATGGCTTTTGACTAAGGACCGGAGCGGGGGATTTCAGACGAATTGTACATATTTATGAAAATATATTTTACTTAATCTTTCCTGAAATTAAGTTTAAGTTTTTATAAAATAAAACATTAACCATGTGTCACCTCTTCCGAATTCAGTATAATACTTAATCATGATTATAAGGATTATATTTCATTGTCGGGGGGGTGGGATTGGCAGTTGAGGGAAACTGCTAGGGAGCGAGGGGCATACCTCATCAACAAGGGGACCTGCATCATCAGCGTTTGTATACCTGACCCTGAATTGTACCCCACATTTTTATAATAAAAATTGAAAAAATCAAAAATTAAAAAAAGAATTATATTTCTTAGTGTTTATTATTCAATGATTTAAAAGGTTTAAGAAGTGTAAAAGTGGCCTAAGGAACTGACCAAATAGAACAACAGACTGAAACCAAACTTGGTAAAGATTAAAACAATCTCCTGAAGAACAGAGAAAGATGATTTGCAATGAAGAAAGCAAGACACTTGAGGTTTAATTTGACAGAAGCGCAGATGTCGGCAAGGAACATGCTGTCCTCAGTGGGGCAGGGCAGAACGGGGGTGATACGTGTTGCCACCCTGAGAGGCGCGGTAGCCTGGACTTCTCTCTCCCTCCACAGACGCCTGTCACTCCAGCCAACACAGACATGTCTTTCCTTTACAAAGAAGAACAGTCTATACATTTACACTTTTCAGTCACCATCAACAGAATTGCTGCTCCCTTCCGAAAGTTGAATTTAATCAAGGACTTAAACGCTTTTCACTCAAGATTTGTTTTATGGGAGGAGGATGAGTTGTTAATGGTGCTTAAAATCAAATCTACAAAGGGATGAGTCGAGTGTGCTCAGCAATTATACTTGCAACTGCTGAGACAGGCTGGAAAAGCAAACGATACACTGGGCAGAGCGTATGGTTCTATTTTGTGCATGCTTCCCTTTCCTAGAAATTAAAACATATTTCTTAAATGGGCGCCATGGCTCACGCCTGTAATCCCAGCACTTTGGAAGGCCAAGGCAGGAGGATTGCTTGAGGCCAGGAGTTTGAGATCCAGTGTGAGTCTGTCTCTACAAAAAAAAAAAAAAAAAAGCTAGCCGGGCATGGTGGGGTGCCTGTAATCCCAGCTGCTCGGGAGGCTGAGGTGGGAGGATCGCTTGCGCCCAAGAGTTTCAGATTGTGGAGAGTCATGATGGTGCCACCACACTCCAGCCTGAGGGACAGAAAAAGACGCTGTCTTTAAAAAACAATTTTTTAAAAATTTAATAGAAAAAGGAAGAGGAAAAAAATGTGTTTACCTCCCCCACCCTGTGGGTCTAGGAGCCTGAGAGAATAGTATCTAGAAGGGGAGCTGAAGAAGCTAGCCCTTGCTGAGGCCATTGAGGCCACTGAGCTGCACTGGGCACAGTCAGGAAGCAAGACTGGCTACTCCCAGGCACCCTCTCGCAGCTAGCCCGTGCTGTGCCATGCCCTGCAAGCCTCTCCGGTGGGCTTCCCCCAGCCTGTGCAGCAGTAACTTTTCCAAGGCCCTCAGGCACTATGGTTGCATTTATTCGTTTTCAGATTCAGTGCAGATGTCTTCCGCACCAATTTTGCCGAGACATTCCCGCCCAGTGATAAAGGCATTCTCCACCGATCTTTTCTCCCTTCGGAGTTTCCTTCCACAATGTCTTCCCTTCCTGTATCCAAGGAAGCGGTGTACTTCCTCCTTCTGGGCCAAACTCCCCCTCCACACCCCAGATTGTCCTCCTCCTCTGACTTCATCCATATCCCTGGATATCCTCTCTTTTCATGGGTTCCTTCTGCCCTGTCGATAAAAATGCTTAAGTTGCTGACACGTTTAACAAACAGAAAAGGCCCCTCTTTGTCTTTGGCCCAGATGCTCTCACAAGCCACTGCACTCTTAGTCCCTTTGGGCTGATGCAAGAGATTTATTTCTCAGGTTCGAAGGCTGGAAGGCCAAAATCAAGGTTCGGGAAGATTCTGTGTCTGGTGAGGTCTGTGACCTAAAAAGAAAATCCTAGCCCCCTTCCACCCGCCCTCCTCCCCAAGTGACTGAACAGACCACCTGTTGACCCAAAGGACCCTAGAGAAATCTTGAAAAACTGAGTTCCCGGCCACAACGGGATAGGAGCTTAGATTCACCTTGTTCTACTCCCTCCCCCACTACCTACCATTAGGCTTTCTTCCCTAAGGGCTAAACAGAAACCAGCCCTTTCAAAAAACTTCACCATGGACATCAACCAAACACCTGAGGCTGACACTCCTTTTGACAAAACAATTTTGAAAAAACAATTGACCAGCAACCCTTCCTGACAAGAGACCACCTGATCACTGAGTGGTTCGGACCAGTCTATGGATGAAGTGCAGTGAGGGTTTTCGTGTCCTCTGCTTCACCCTTGGACCTCAGAAGGCTGGAAACCCTACCCTAGTTCAACTTTTCAGCCTCATTCCTCACATTTAGGATTATTGCACAGCCACAATACCATCAGGACAAGTTACTTCCTCCTCTCCACTCCACTCTCCATTTTTACACACGTTTCCATCTGCACAGGGGGCTCTTCTGCCCTGGGTGGATTCTACTGCACTCTTACCCGGTGAACTCTTAGCCATGTTTCAGTGCCCAGTGTAAGAAGTTCCAGCTGCTCAGGGCTACCTCCCCTGATTCCCCAGGCAGAATGGAACCCTTCTCCTCTGTGCATCAAAATCACCTTTAAACACCTCCAGAATCGCATTTAAGATATCTCATTCATTTTTTGTGGGCACGGCTGGGCCCCACCCCTCACCTGAGAGCTCCTGCCCACAGAAGTTGTGTAGATACATCGAAGTCACAAGGACAGAGCAGGACTCTGGTATGTTTTCACTAAATTGAGAGTAAATACAGTCTTTCATTATGTTCAGAGCAAAAACAACCTGTGATGAGACTTGTTAGCTCTAACTCTACTGGCTCCTTTATCACTGATGCAACCTGAAGGCACGATTCCCTTCAAGATGCAACTTGCACCACCACCCCGAGCAGCTTCTCGTGTGTGTGTTCCCTCACTCCATGACACTCTCAGTGCCTCTCACTGGGTCCCACTGCTTCCTGTGGGTTCCCCGATGAGGGCAGTCCAGCATCTCTCTCTCCCCGATATCTCGCACAAATACTGACACATCCGGGTATCTTCTGACAGAGTGACTACCAGGCTTTAGCTCTCACGATGATGCATGTGGGTGAGAATTTTCAGCAAGATCAGAAGGTACGGGAATCGAGTATTGAGTAGCTTACATCAAATGTGGATTTGTCCGTGACGTGCTGTGGAAGTGATGAGGTGATCAGAGAAAGGGCAATCCTTGGACGGTGCTTCTCATGTTTCCTTCCGACAGCACCCCAGTAACAGAAAGGCTATTCTGAACTTGAGTGCCACACTTTCCTAAGAGTCCATCCATCAGACATTTATTTACTCACGCCTGAGATGTGCCAGGCACCCAGAGGCACAGCCATGAGCAGGACAGACACAGTCTCCGAAAAGAAGGACATACGGGTGACTGCGGTCAGTTACAACAGGGGAGGTGACAATGAGGTGCTCACAGAGCACACTAGAGCCACAGTGCAGGAAGCAGAGGCTCACACAAGTCAAGGAACAGAAGGTAAGTGGAGTCCTGCACATGAGAAACACAAACATGGTCCTTCTCCTGCAGGGGCTTCTGGAAGGGCCAGGCAGGCTGAATAAAGCCCCTCCTCCATCCTCATATCTATTCCACCCCTGCTCTGTCCATCTGCCTAGGGCTTCTCTTCTTTCATTTTGTACCTGGCTGTAAGAAAATAAATACAGAAAGTTTTCCCAAAGAGAAAAAGCTGCTAACTTCTATTTTCTGATATTGATTCCTCTGCGCTGGCCAATGCTGTGTATTTCATTCACAATTGTGTGAAGGCACCGCCTTTCTCTCAAGTTTAGCCCATAAACAGGGAAGTGCTGGAATAAATCACTATGAGAAGGATTTAGTAACTATGACCATGGAACAAAGAAAAGGACAAGAGAACAGGTGTTGGCAGAAGCTGACTCCGGGCTCACCCGTTGCTGGAGTGAACAGGGAAGGCACTTAACTTCTTGGTGGCTCAGCCTCCTCTTCTGTAAAAGGGGGATAATGACAGCTTGCTTAAAGTATTGCTGCAATGACTTAGTGAAATTTGAAACAGGCTTGCACCCTGCAAAGTCGCAAGTCCATGTTGGTTTTTTATTCACTGGAAAAGAAAGGGTACCCATGATGGATGGTCCTTGAAGATGATAAATTAAGTCCGGTCTCTAAATATATTTAGATACTTAAACTTACCGATTCTTATTCACCCAATACCCCTTACCTAATTTTTCTCTCATTTATGCTCTACTACTGTATTTCATCAAACCTCTTGAACACAAACACCAAAGGACAGCCGCACCTCACTAATACTGAGGGACCCTATCAACTGAAATATAACTGAATAAAACAGCACTGGTAGAAAAAGGAGCGCAAAGCAAAAAATCCCAAATCAGAAACAACGAAGTGAGAGACAAGCAATGCTGCCCCTCTTCCTTCTGCTTCCCACCATTTACTGCAAGTATATATCTACATATGTGACTATTTGAGTAACATATGCGACTATCTACCTATGTGACTATTTGACCCTTCCACTGGGCTGAGCCCACAGATAGCAGGTTCTTGTTTGTCTTACCCCAGTGCATTTTCCACACCTTGCTCAGGGCCCAGGCTATACATGCATTTACTAAATATCAGTGAAACCAATGCACTAGATTTGAGCAGCTGTTATAA